GACATATCTTTTGTAACTCTGAGAACTGTGTAGATGTTATTATAGTTGTTGACATTGTATTCTGTAATATCTACAACAAAACCAAACTTGCGGTTTTTCAACACATTAAGTTGCATTGGAAATAGGGCATCACTGTCTCCGGCCTGTAAGATATATTTTAATAAATTAAAAAAATTAAGTAAATGTTTTCTGATTTTAAAGGTATGAATAATATACCGCATCATGTATCTTTTTCAACTCGTAGGCACTTATATTTAACAACCTCCTTGCTTCCCTATCAAAAAGAGTCAATCCAATGTAGGCCTGTCAAATCGGGTCGTCGTGTCGTGTTTTTGTCTGACACGACACGACACGACAATTTTTTTTGTAACACGAACACGACACGACACGATGTCGTGTTTTTTCTCACTAACACGAAAACGAACCAATTAAAAAAACGACAACACGACACGACACGACAAAGATAATATTACATAACTATTATTTTATTTAATTCATATTTAATCATATATAACACGATAAAAACGACAAACACGAAAACACGATAAATACATGCTCAATCGTGTCAATTTCGTGTGGATTTGTAAACACGAACACGACACGACACGACATCGTGTTTTTTAAACTTGACACGAACACGACACGAAAACGAATTCGAATTTTGATTTCGTCCCGATTTCGTTTCGTGTCGTGTATTTTTGTCGTGTCGTGTCATAAATTGACACCCCTAATCCAATGGTTCCAGTACAATCTTGTACGTTAATTGGAATTATATACCTAAAACAAAAAATAATTATGTCATTGTTAGTGTTGTTTTAAGATTGACAAAATTAATAGAAATAAAAATGTCTATACTTTATAACTGACTGAAATTCAGATTTTTTGCATTGTGCATTTGTACACTCGACAACCATAGTTTCGGAAATTCCCTCAGGGTTGGTATACGAATGATTGGTTTTGGGAACAGGGATAACTTTTTTTCCACATTTTTTGCATGCTTCATAATACCATGGTAGATTCTGCCTTATATTAACAATGGAAGCAACTAATAAAAACTTCATTTCCTGTATCATATAAAATGTAAAAATTATTAAAATAAATTATGCAAAAATAAAATGTAAAACATATAAAATAATGCAATATACCTTAATTGGTTCGGTGATCTCACAGATTGTTTTTAATGGAAAATTGCCCTTAAAGTCATCTGTATATGAAGAAGAGTAGCTTTGAAGTGTAGTTATGCTTTTTTCAGTTATACCGAAATTGTCATGACATTTCAACCTGTAATGTTTAATTTAGATTCATGAATATTAGGTTTTGTGTTTTTTTTAAGTTAAAATACATTATAAAAAAATAAAAAACAATTGGAAACTAACTTATTTTTAAACTCATTTATTTCATAAATGTCAGAATTTATGAACAATTTCGTTACTTCAAAATGACTTTTAGCTTCACCAAGACCTGTAACAAATGGATATCCAATTATTAAAATTTATATAAAAACAGTAATTATAAACATCTATATATAAAGACTGAATACAAACCATTCCAAATGTTTAGCTTCAAAAACTGCATCACGATAACAACAAAATTAACAGTCGGGTTATTTTTTAGGTATTCTGAAATTTGATATGCTTGACTTCCAAAAATAGTAACCTTCAGATGTACAGAACTAAATAAACCATAAAATAGTATATTAATATTAATTTGTGATTAATTAAAGATAATAAATAATAAATAAATAATACAATATAATCTCACTCTAGGTTGCTAAGAGTGACTTTTATATAATGCTTGGATGGTACTGGATTTGAAGTTTCAAGAGGCCTAAATGACACGATATGTCCAATAACATCTACACAACAGATACCACAAAAAAATAAAAGTTTAGGATTAAATTCGTAATATTTAAATAATAAAATGTATAACCAAAAAAACAAATGATAAAAAATGATTTTATTAATATTTTATGACTAACCAAAGAATGTGTCTTTTGGGCATGTTTGTTCTATGATAGAATTAAAGTCAACAAACATAAATCCATTGACCGGACCCGAGAAATCATCACATTTTTTTACGATGCTTTTCCAATCCAAAGTTAACATCTGTTTATGACTTGTATAACTAAAACCATTAGTAACAGCAGCCATATTGGGTTTTATAACTATATAACTTTCATCTTCCTTTAAAAGATGACGAAATCTGGAGAAATTCTGATTGAAGACACGAGCTTGGTATTGTGTACCCTGTTTAAAAAAAATTAAAAATTATTATGTTCATGAAACATGTCTAATATTGAATGATGAATAAAAAATATATCAAATACAACAAACCTCCTCATCCATGATGATCATTTCAATGGAACAAACTTTATTATTTCTGACAAAGTTCCAAATTTTAAGCACCCGAACCTTGATATGCGATTTTTCATCTATCTGATCAATGTTATTTAGGTAAACCTTATTTCCTATTTCCATTTTCTGCAATAAATTTAATCATTATAGAATTGTAAGGAAAATTAACAACCTTTTAAATTAACAGCAAATCAAAGTAAATGAAACAGCAAAACAAAAAAAACATATTGTAATAGTTAAAGCTTTGAGGTTGTATTGTTTGGGGTTAAAGATATTCGCATATTGGAGTCAAATGCAGTTCACGTGTAAAAGCAAAAATGTTCGCATTTGGTAATACAAATCAAAATTGGGTTTCACATATGAGGTTGTATGGATTGGGGTTAAAGATGCGAAGGTGATTATGGTTAATATTCATTTCGTAAATGTATTTAAAAAGTTACCTTTATTCATTTCGTATTTGGTGAGACAAACAACTCAAATGCGAATGAACTAAAAAAAAATGACTGGAACATGCGAAGAAAGAGGGTGAATGAAGAATGTGAATTTTACAGTAGAATGCGAATTGGGGAAGAAATCTAAGAATTTCGCATTTTTATTATACAAATTGATTGATTGATTGATTTGTCTTAATTGTTAATTGCGATATATGAAATACTTATCAAGTTAGGGGCAATATGGTCATTTTGAAGTAAAAGAAGCCTTGGTTATTAAATGAATCATACGAAGGATCTGTTATTTGATTTTGGAATTGGGGCGAAAATTAGCAACCTTTTAAATTAACAGCAAATCAAAGTAAATGAAACAGCAAAACAAAAAAAACATATTGTAATAGTTAAAGCTTTGAAGAACAATTTTTTTTAAAGAAAATAAAGTTCTCATTTTTATTACTAATTTCGTATTTTGTAATCATTTTCATTAACATTTACGTCTTTTAAACTGAAAAGGTAGAAGAAGAACATGATTAAGAAGAATTAGCAAAAGGAAGAAGAAGAACATCACTAATAAAATGAAAAATGATAGGAACTGGTAAATCAGACAATTAAGAGGTTAGAAATATTAGTAATGCTGATATTTTAATACACTAACCTGATATTATAATTTTTGAAGCGTTGCAGAATCAAGAAGAATGAAGAAGAATACGTTTGCAAATATTACTATGGAGCAGAATTCGTCTGGAGCAAAATGGTAAAATGAAAATAACCGTATGAATGCTATTTACGTTTGAATAAATAAGAATAAGAATTAAGAAGATTACGTTTGAAAAAGATAAATATTGCAGATTTTTAGGGATTTAATTTGCAATCAAAATAAACAAACTTTCAAAATTAATGCGTGTTTTTCGAATCTGAAGATTGATTAACATATTTGTTTGCAGATTTTTCCGGAATTATTGAATTTGGATTGTATGGCATTTACGTAAATATAGATGAATAAAATGAGCGGGAAAACTCTATTTTGGAGGTCTTATAGATTGACACGTGGCAGAGTTGTACTTATTTATTAGAATTAGGATATATATATATATATATATATATATATATATATATATATATATATATATATATATACACTAGGAGCGTGCCCGCGCGATGCGGCGGCGGCGATTTATTTCATTCCGACGATTAGTTATGAGCGAAATTTAGTGTCATTTCGGTAGTCGTTAAATTGTTTCCTTTTGGTTTGTTTCATTCTAGAAATTTATTCCTTTCGGTGATCAGTTGTCTCCAGAAGGGCATCAAATAGTCATTCTTATCTAGTGGGTTACCTGCGCTATGCGGCGACGATAGTTAGTTTCATTTCGACAAACATTTTCCTAGCAACGCTTCATTTTCTTATCTCTATAGTTTTCGGACGGAGATTAACTTTCTTTTGGAATCATTAAGGGTGAGCATGGGTCAGGTTTTACCTAAAACTGAAGCCAACCCAATAAAATTGATTTTCAAAAAATAAATACCAAACCGAGAACCCAAACTGTTAACCGGGAGTATTTATGCTTCTAAATCGCGCCTCAGATATATACATTCATATGATTACACATAAAAAAACATGGTGCCCAACCGTTGGGTTGGTTTGTCGGTTTTTAAAAATTTGAAACTATAACTGTCGGTTTGGCTTCAGTTTCGGTTTCGGGTTTTCGGTTTTGATTTCTTTGGTTTTGGTCGGTTTCCCAGTTTCGTGGTTCGGGTTTGCTCACCCCTTGGAATCATTTTATATTCTAAACAGTACACAAAATACCAATACATTTTATTTACCATTAAAACTTTTTTTATAATATATGGTATAGTTTTACGGTGAATAATAAAAGTTTCCTAACGAATAGTTTCATACACCGAGTGACACATGGTTTCATTTCGACGAATAATTTTTTGGGAAAATGACTTGTAAGGGTAATGATGTTTTACCCGTGTTCACATTATACCATTAACGTTTTTTTTAACACAAAATACCATTAAAATGTTTTTTCTGTACATACTTTACCATTGGTAACCGGATACAATAGGTATCCCGGTAATTTATTTATTAAAAAAAAAACAAATTATTGGAAAATACGTGGCTCACCCCTCTCCATTAAACACCCTCACCCTCAACACTCTCAATTAAACACCCCGTTGTGTAGGATTTTCTCAGTCGAAGTTGAGATCGATCATGGCTGGTCCATCTAATGCAAAAGGATCAACTTACATTCAAGTAGATGTTCATTACGATGGAATGTTTTCCCCCATTCCTCATCTTATATACTACCTGAATCAAAAAACGTCAATTACAGATGTCGATTTTGGTGGATTAAATTTCAAGGAGTTCATTCATGTTCTTGAGGATGTCACAAAGGGGAAGTGTCCTGTTGTCTACTACTGTCTTGGGCATAAGTCAATGCGTGATGGGTTGACACCACTGAAAAACGATGATGACTACAGGAGGTTTCTTGATGTTGCACATGGTAACGAGGGAAAGATTAATGTATATATTGATCACTACAACGATTCGGTGCTTGACTGGATAGAGGAAGAAAAGGAAGAAAAAAATGTTGATAGTGAAAGCTCTGATGAAGATAAAGACTCGGTCATGTCTGATGCTCTATCTGTTGATCATGAACCCGATGAAGAGGTAATACCATTGACTAAATCTGATGATCCCTTTCTTAACTATATTAGTGTTGTCCCTAGAGATGAGTTTGTTGATGAGGATGATGATTCAGATAATGGAACCAAAGAAGCCCCAATTTACCCTTTTCATGACTCAACTCAGAAATGGGATACAATGCAACCCATCCTTGGTATGAGGTTTTGTAACCCTCAAGAACTTAAACAGCTTGTCTCAAACTATGCAGTAGCAAACGGTTTTAACCTTTGGTATGAAAAAAATGATAAAACTAGGTTGTTAGTCAGGTGTTGTAAAACTAGTGAAGGAAAGGCAGCATGTCCTTTTAGACTATGGGCTACTTGGATGAGCAGTGAAAAGTCATTCCAAATTAAGTCCTTACGTAATGAGCATAACTGTGCTAGAACCTTCAAGTTTGGGTCAGTTGTTACTTACTCATGGATAGGGAAACATTTTGTTAATGATATTTTAGAAAATCCCAAATTGAGTTGCAGGGAAATGAGGGATAAAGTTGGGGAAATTTTCAATGTGAAGGTTAGTGTTGGACAATGCAGGAATGCAAAGAAGTTTGCACTTAATGAGATCGAAGGCAGTTTGAACACACATTATGAAAAATTATGGAGTTATGGAGCTGAGATATTAAGAGCTAATCCAGGGTCAACAGTGAAAATTGGGACGGATACAATGCCTGATTCCACAATTTATTTTTCTAGGATGTATGTTTGTATCAAAGGTGTAAAGGATGGTTGGATTGAAGGATGCAGGAGGGTTATAGGTGTAGATGGTTGCTTTTTAAAAGGTATTTGCAGAGGTGAGCTTCTTTCAGCTGTAGGTAGAGACGCTAACAACCATATTTACCCCATTGCTTGGGCAGTAGTTGCAGTTGAGAACAAAGAAACTTGGAAGTGGTTTCTAAACTTACTACTTAAGGACATTAACATGGGAAATGGGGCAGGATTAACCTTACTTTCTGACCAACACAAGGTATTTATCCTAACTGTTTTTTAATTGGTTACCGTTTTATTTATCTTAATGTTATGTTTATCTTAATGTTATGTTTATGTTGCATGTTTAGGGTCTTATTGAGGCTGTTAAAGAAAGAGTACCAGATGCTGAGCATAGGCAATGTGCTAGGCACGTCTATGCTAATTTCAAGAAAAAATTTAAGGGTGCTGCATATAGGAAGCTGTTTTGGAGGGCTGCAAAGGCCACAACTGTGCAGAGGTTTGAAGGTTTAATGAAAGAGATTAGGGTGATTGATATACAAGCATATGATCACTTGATGGAAAGAGATCCAAAATCCTGGTCTAGGGCTTTTTTTGTATTGGACAGGTCTTGTGATGCCATTGAGAATGGTATTTGTGAATCTTTTAATGCTGCAATTGTGCATGCTAGGAAAAAGCCGATTATAACAATGTTAGAGGAAATTAGGAGGTTTGTGATGGATAGGATGTATTGTAAAAGATTGAAGGGGCAGAAATGGAATCTAGCCATATGTCCATCTATTAGAAAGAAAATAGTGGACAAGAGGAAACATCTAAGGTATATATACTTTATTTTATAGGTATTGGCATGTAATTCCCAAGTACTAATTTTATACTATATTCCTTTATTTTATAGGTATTGGTATGTAATTCCCAGTGGAGTGCAACAATTTGAGGTGAGGTCAGTACATGAGGTTTATGCTGTGTACTTGAACCAAAGAACATGTGCATGTAGAGGATGGCAACTAAGCGGTATACCATGTATACATGCCATGGCTGCTATTAGTTATCTAAATGAGAATGTGGAAGACTATGTGGCAACTTGGTTCACAACAGAAATGTTTGGAAATTGCTATAAGTATACAATTAATCCTTTAAATGGAAGTGAAATGTGGCCATCTTGGGAAGGTCAACCTATGTTGCCCCCGAAACGTAAAAGATTACCTGGCAGACCTAAAGTCAACAGGAAGAAGGCTGCTTCAGAAAAAGAAGGTCGTCATACTATTAGCAAGAAAGGGGCTATTACAAAATGCAGCATCTGTAGAGAACCAGGACACAACAAAATAACATGTCCATTGTCCAAAGAAGGTTTTTTTCATATCAAGTATCATTCATTTACCAAAAAAAAATATAAGTATTATCTATTAATGCATTATAAATTTTAATGTAGGGCCAAGTACTAAAGCCAAAAAGAAGAAGGGTAAACATGTTCCTGATGTTGAGGATGAGTCTGAATTTGAGATTGAAGAGATGGATGAAGTTGAAAATGAGTATGAATCTAAGTCTGAATCTGAGATTGAAGAGCTGGCTGAAGATGGTGATGAACCTGATCAGGGACAAGTTGATGAACAAGTTGAAGCTGCTGTTGAAGCTGTTGAAGCTGTTGTTGAACCTGATGAACAAGTTGAAGCTGTTGTTGAACCTGATCAGGAACAAGTTCATGAACCTGATCAGGACCAAGTTCATGGACCTGTTGTTGAGGAACCTGCTGCACAACCCGTTGTTGAAGTTGAACAAAGAGCACAACCATTGAAGAGGAAAAGGAAATACTCAGAGAGGATCACTAAAGTGGCATTAAGGAGGGTGGTCAACACCAAGGATGGATGTGGTTTAAGTGTGAATAAACCTGTTACACTGGAATGATTCCCTTTGATGTAAATCTGCACATTAAAAACTGTGCTTTTGTTTGTTTAAGGATGAAATTACTATGCTTGTCTTTTGCTAAAAACCATGCTTGTCTTTTGATGTAAATATGCACATTAAAAACAGTGCTTTTGTTTGTTATTACCCTTTAAATATAATCTACATCGTTCAATGTTGCTTTTACATATGATTCCTTGTTTTTGACCATTATGCCCTTCATATTATTTTTTACCATTATTCACATTAGATCATATTCAAACACAAGATTCAGCATAGTTGTTTGTACAAGAGTAACATTCTGCACATTATGCCCTTCATTTTGACCATTATGCCCTTCATTTTGACCATTATGCCCTTCTGCACATTAAGAGGTAAAATTCTGCAAGATTCTGCATTTTGACCATTATTCAAACACAAGATTTTGCATAGTTGTTTGTACAAGAGTAACATTCTGCACATTATGCCCTTCATTTTGACAATTATGCCCTTCATTTTGACCATTATGCCCTTCTGCACATTAAGAGGTAAAATTCTGCAAGATTCTGCATTTTGACCATTATTCAAACACAAGATTCTGCATAGTTGTTTGTACAAGGGTAACATTCTGCACATTATTTTTACCATTATTCACATTAAATCATATTCAAACAAAAGATTCTGCAAAGTTGTTTGCAAAGTTGCTTTTACATAAGATTCTTTTTGACCATTATGCTCTTAGGATTCCTTCATTTTGACCATTATGCCCTTCTGCACATTAAGAGGTAAAATTCTGCAAAGTTGTTTGTACAGGGGTAACATTTTGCACATTATTACCCTAATAAGACAATGCATGAATGCTCATTCAATGTTGTTTGTACTTAAGATTAAATCATATTCAAACTTAAGCTAAACATGTCCATTCAATCTTATTCAGCAAAACATGTTCATTCAATCATATTCAGCAAAACAACCATAATATCCGATTACAATTTGACATTTATGCCCTTAAAAGTGATACTACAAACAACATAAACAACACAATTACATATGTTTTGAGACTGCTAATTTTTCTAATTATCTTATCAAATTCTTCATCTGTCTTCTTTTTGTAAATATTGAAATCATGGTCCATAATTGCAATCCTCACTTCACAAGATTGTGCCCTTACTTCATAGGATTGTGCTCCCACTTCATCTCTTTTCTTCTTGTTGACTGTATCTTCTTCATTAACCCATTCCCAGAATTTGCATTTAATTTCTGGGTTATCCTAAAACAAATATACGAAAATTATTGAAAAGACCTTACTACATATAGATTAAACCCGACATACCGTTGAATTAGGGCAAACCCTAAACTCTTTTCCAGGATTATCTTTGGTCGTTGAAGTCCAGATACGAGAAGGGTAGCCACAATCACAGGGATTTGCAAAATCAAGTTTCGATTTTGACTTGATTTTCTTCGATCTGGTGTTGGAGGTGTACGTAGAGGAGGAGGAAGCCATGGATTTGAGAAAGCTGCTACAGTCTTGAAGAGTGACGAAGAAATCGTGCTTTGAGAGTGTTGAGGGTGAGGGTGTTTAATGGAGAGGGGTGAGCCACGTATTTTCCACATAATTTGTTTTTTTTTTTAATAAATAAATTACCGGGATACCTATTGTATCCGGTTACCAATGGTAAAGTATGTACAGAAAAAACATTTTAATGGTATTTTGTGTTAAAAAAAAAAGGTTAATGGTATAATGTGAACACGGATAAAACATCATTACCCTTACAAGTCATTTTCCCTAATTTTTTCCCCGAACAACGATTAGTCTTTTGTCGACCTATTTCGGACCGTGTCGGCCATTATTTATCGTACCGCTTTTTTTGTACCTTACTTTCTTTTTTCATACGTGTATTTTTTCTGTTGGGTTTCAAGCACAATTTGGTCTATCCATATTTTTCGCTAGCTTTTTCTATTAGTCTTTTTCATTAGTTTTGATATTTGTGTTTTCATTTGAGCCAATCCCGCTCAATTATATTCATCAACTTTCAACACGGTGGAAGGCGATTATCTTTTTACTCGACAATTTATTTCCTTTTAGTTAGAATTGAATAATTTCTTTTTAAATAGATATCATATGTTAAAAAAATATCATTTGCTGACAAATCTATTTAACATTAAAATATATATATCTATACATACTTATATTCATTTTTGACAAATAGGTTTATATAAGTTTTAGAAATTAACAGACCAAATTTTTAATAGTAACTTTTTACGAAGACCATTATGTAGTGGCTATCAAAAGGAGTCAATTATATACCATACAACAAAAAATTCACCTTAAATTGAATTTGCAGTCGGTCTAAAACTATCAAGTCTTATAATAACCGTTATCAATTTCATGAAGTTCTATGGCTTATATTCTGGTGTTTCCATTTAATGCCACAAAATTATAAAATTTCATCAATTCACATGTTCAAAATATATTAACTTTTATATATACCTGAATGCTATAAAACATTTACTATTCATACATCTCTCTTTTACCTCTCGAACTAACCATGTCTTACTCTAAACTTTACCTCTTAACATGATATTACTAAAACATATAAGGTTTGTAATTCATTTTGTTGGTCCTACTAAGCACATACATAATCAATGATAGCATTGTACTTTCAAAGTACAATGCTTTAATAAGAAAAAAAATATAAAATGAAGTTCAAAAATGCCTATGCATAACCGATATTTACACACAAACATCCCACATAAATATATTATATTGTGGTTATCTTGAAAATAGGTAATTTGGTGGAAAATGAAGGCACATCTTCTTGCTTTCCTGCTGCAAATTAATTTCAAGATTAACTAAGGAGTAAAATTAATAGTAAATTTTATACCCAACTTCCTTAAACCTTCTTTAACCTTTGGATTTATGCTATTGATCATAAAAATGAGGCACCAAACCTTTGTTTTGGAAAAAACCAAATGCATCACATAAAATCAAATATTAAAAAATGGTGACATATATCACAATCAATGCTAAAGTATATGCCTAAGTTGAAAAATAGATTGATTGGGATAACTCAATTCAAATCTCCAATTTGAATCAAATGTAAAAATATATGTTACAATCAAAAAATCAAATACAAAATTTAATAAAAGCATAAAAATATTCAATTCGACAAAACCATTTAAAAATGACAATAACTACCACACAATAGCATCAATTCCGTTTACATGAATACGTTTTTAGAGGTGCATATCATTCTAATTGAACAGCTAAGCTCCCCCATCTAACCTGGGCTAAATGGACCAAAGCCTCAAGAAGATAATAATTAATTGGAATAGACTTTAGTGTTCACTGATTGACATTTCCATACCCTGCATAAATATATCTCAATTAATAAGGCTAAATAGAATTTACAAGTTAGTGGTGGATTAAGAAAACATATATTGAAGCTTAATGAGGATTGTTTACCTGTCAATATCTGTCAATATCAACAAAAGATTTCAACAACCACCTGAAAATCTTGAAATTTGTATAAAGATTTCCAATAGACCGGTTCCAAAACTGAGGTGTAGATACAAAAACACATCAGCAATCTCGTCCGAAATTGAGTTTCTACAACATTAACTTGACAAGTACATAAACGTAGGGACAATTTCATCCATAAATACCTTTACAAACCTGATAAGAGGCATAAAATCAAGGCAAAAGTTAGAAAAAAGCTTTAAATTAAGGCAGAAATCAGAGAAAAATCACATTTCTTGGATAAATAATGAAAGACAAATCAGGAACATTACCTTTTAACAACTTCATAATTATACAAGAATAGGATATGGTAGGTAGCTTATGTTTGATGGTGGTCACCCAAACGAAGTGTTTAAGGACGACATTTGTCATGCTGGTTTGAGGAGGGCATCTGTCATGCTTCCCCTATTTCTTTCCCTCTCATGAATCTTGAGAGACACACAAACATAAAGAATGAGAGAGAGAGAGAGAGAGAGAGAGAGAGAGAGAGATATTCATCTGGAACTTAATCAACCATCTCGACAGATGAAGATCGACGAAAGCGCAAATTAACATCGGCGACGGCTAAAAGGAACTGGTATGGAACAATAATGGTAGAGTTTTTCTTTGTTCGAAGGCATGGCTATACTTTGGTCAACAAGGACGGAGGAGAAGCTTCTCTGGTGGCTGATCGGGGTGGGTTTGATAGAGGTGAATGAACGGTCGAAATTAGGTTAAAGGAACGGAGAGAACATGAGTTTAACATTGTTCCCGAGTGTTTTTTTTTAAATTCATTAAAGGAAAGGGAGGGAAAATATTAACGGAAGAAAAGGGAGGGAAAGGAAAATTTTATTTAATCCGTGTTCCCGAGTTCGAAGGAAATAAAAGTAAAATTTTTAGTTTATGTGTTCCCGAGTTAGGAGGGAAAAGAGAAGAAAATTAAAAGATTACAATTATACCCTTATTTACACATTATGTTAAGAACATGTAAACAATATGAATAAATTACAATCGAAATCAAAATCAATTAAAAACATTTAATCAAACAATCAACTAATGAAATAAACTCAAGTCAACAATGAAAAACCAGAAAATCAAAATTCCTCCTCTTACAAATGAAGTCCAATGCAACCTACTGTAAAAAAACAAATCCCATAAAACCTAAAGATATGATTCAATTTTTAGCTTCACTCATCATCTTTCTTAAAAAGATCTTCCTCATCCTCATTGAAGAACTAAAAATTATCCTAGCATCGGCTTGATTACGCGATAAATATATGAAAGCATCTGCAAATTCATCATCATCCAAACCCATCAACTCTAACTCTTTCTCGATTTCCTCACCTGTATAGTCACGAGATTTGTTCCCTTCCCTCATAACATCAACGATTTCTTTAAATGTTTGCACAATATTGTGTTCAAAATATTCTAGTTGAGGTTGAGGTTGAGGTTCAGGTTCAGGTTCAGCTACTACTTCATCTTCATCTTGAAGTTTGCTTTCTAGTTTTCTTTTTTTACTCTTCAGCTTCTTTGCTTTTGAACTCCCATCAGGTGAAACATCTGTTGCAGACACTATTTGAATGTCCTCATCATCATCTTTGTGTACGTTCTCCAAACTTACCTCCTTATTTGCCATTAGTTTTTCCACATCAGCAATTTTTTCTATTTTAATTTCTTTGGATTTGCTTAACCGGACATTTTTTTCTTTTGCTGTTTCCGCTTTTGATCCCGATGCTCTATCATCTGAAAATAACATCTCCAACTGACTGTAATTTGAAATCTTTTTGGTCCTGAATGCAGCTGATTCAGGGTTCGCCTGTTTATAAACAAACCAAAAAATTAATTAGTAAAGTTAATGGTAAAAAAGTTATATAAAACAATAAATTAAACGTAAAACCAAAACATACTTTAATTAATTGCTCCCATACTTCCTCCTCTGCTTTAATGTGTTTTGTTTGAGAATTCCATGAGAACCCACTCAACGAAGTACCCCGATACATATCATACCATTTACTAAAATTACCTTTTAAAGTTTTCATTCTGTTTTTAAGTTGATCTTTTGTAATGGACTTGTTAAACTCTTTACTCAACCCTACAATCATGTTCACATATGCTTGCGAAGTGAATGTACCATTCACCCGATTACCTATATCATCTTCCTTTACAAGAGCTTCAACTAGAACATTATCCATATGATCTGTCCATGTCAAATTTTCTTTTTTCACAACACTTCCATCCGCTAGCCTTTTGTTCATGATTGCTCTGTACATACAAAGATAACATAACCAGAAATACATTATTAAAAATTGTACAAATATTTATAAAAAAGAAATGGCTCATAATTTAAATAACACCATCAAAAAAAGAAATTGCAAATGTCGCTACAAAATTAAACTATATTAACAGAATGAAATAAAACTGATAAATCGTTGATCTACTATAAAACTAATTAGACATATCTATTTCATTGTTAGGTTTCAACAAGTAATCATTCCACATTTGAGTTGTAATAGCGTTCCTCAATTCCTCAGCCCCATCACTACGCACACGTCCGTTATTAACATCATGTCTCACTTGTTGTGGTTGTTCATCCAACACCTCTTGTAAGACTTCATGTTCAAGTTTTTTATCACGATCCTCGTCTAGTAAAAAATTGTGTAAGATACAACATGCCACAAAAATGTCTGATTGTGTGTCGCAAGAGTAAAAAGGTTCTTGTGAACTTCTAATGATTGAGAACCTTCTTTTTAAAACACCAAACGACCGTTCTATTGCGTTACGTAAAGAAGCATGTCTAAGATTGAACAACTCTTTTGCATTCACTGGGGGGTGAGCAGAATACTCTTTCAAATGATACCTGACACCTCTATATGGTGTCATTAGTTCAATGGTATGAGGCAAACCAACGTCTACCAAACAATATCTGCCTATAAATAACATGTAATTAGTTTTCTTATAAAAGACTACACACAAAATTAAATTAGTTATCAAAAATTACCCCTAGGAATTAGTAGTTTATCGTCTCTTTTAAGTGCATCTTTCACTATCCTTGAGTCTGAGGCAGTGCCCTCCCAGCCAGTTAAAATGTATGTAAACTTCAAATCAAATGAACATGCGGCTAAGACATTTATGGTAGGGTAACCTTTGCGACCATGATATCTAGGGGCATCTCTATTGGGTACTTTTACACGAACATGTGTCCCGTCAATTGCCCCTACACAATTCTTGAAGTAGGGATAAAATCTCTTTTTCTCTTAAATTTCTTTCGTGACCACATCACCTTTAGGTTGTTGAATGTAGTAACTTTCTAATGCTACAACTGCGCGAAGAACTCTATGGAAGCATCTACTTGTTGTAGATTTAGCACGCCCATAAACGAAGGAGACCATTGTATTTCTCATATTACGATGTGTAGAAACCTTGCAACATGTTCTTCAACAGACATGCGTTGCGTAGGTCGCAGTCCACCATCACGTCGTAATATAGTACACAACTTTCTAAAAGCTTGTTCACTCACACGAATAAGCTCACGACATTTCCCACCTTTAATAAGTTTGTGTAATAGACGTTCTCGTTCAAGTTGACGCTTTAATAGCTCTTCCTTACTAAGTAAATTATGGTTATTTTTTTTCGAAAGTCTACGATGTATTACAATGGCCATGAACATCAGAGTAACCACTTGCCTTCGTCTTTTTTCCCCATCATCATCTTGGCTGGTCATGGCACTTTCCTAATACTAAAAATTCATTTGATCAAGAAAAAAGAAAAAAAATCTCATTAGCTATGTGAATTTGATCTCGAAGTTAGCTAATATGCTTTCTCTTGGACCACTTTGAAGTTTAAAACTATGCAATGTTACTCATAAGCTGTACAACAAAACATTTATAACCTCTCATGTTCAAGTAATTTTTTATATGGAAGAAAGTTCACATGAGGCCTTGCTTACATGCATGGAAGACTTGCAATATGTGTTACAACACAGCAAGTTAAAAGCACTTGTTATTGACACATTTGGTCATCGAAAAGAAAAACTCATTAGGTAATCTTGTGAAAAGCATACACGTATCTCTAGTCATAAAAGGATTATACAAATCATAGTGTTATTCGGGGGTGTGTAGGTGTTATGTGATTCATGAATCAATAAAAAAACATCAAAAAAAAAAAAGACAGGAAACATCGAACAGTAAAGTCACATGCAATATTTTATAATCTTTTCATATTTAACTCAAGCAAAATGGAAAATGCCCTTCAAATAACTCAAGAAAAATGAGTTCAGCATGGTGATTCTATTTGAAGCAATAACTTGTGGAAGACACGTCTATGCTTCTGTAGTAATGGAAGCATGTCTCAACAAGCAAGAAAACTAACTAAGGTTCTAATAATAGTTTCATGCATATTAGATGGAAGAACCGTGAGCAAAAAGATTTTACAGGGATATGGAAGACATACCTGATAGGGGACGACTTGAACAGGGACGCACGAATGAGAATTCTTGTTGGGAGGTATTGATTATGCGGCTACGTCATGTTATAAATAGGGTTGAGGGTATTATCGTCCATAATATACTTTGTGTACGTATCCTTCCGGTTTTCTTCCTGAATCCGCCCAAATTGGGAGGAAAATTTGGAAGGAAAATGGGCCTTCAAAATCCTTCACCTCCCCTCTCTTTCCTTCCCTAATTTAAATTCGGGAACAAGGTTTTCCGTCCATATCCCTCACCTCACCTCCAAATTTGCCCGTTTCCGTCCTTAAGTGCAACTGGGGAACAAGCTGTAAGAGATAGGGAGCATATTCTTTATAGGGGTGGGAGGAACGAAGCGACATATGAGATATTGTGCTTTTAGTTTTGAGTAAATTACACGAATGGTCCCTATGGTTTGGGGTAATTTGCATGTTTGGTCCCTAACTTATTTTTTTAACTCGGAAGGTCCCTATAATTTGTTTTTGTTACGCACTTGGTCCATACTGTTTGTTTTTGTTACACGCTTGGTCCCTATCTTATCTAAAAATAGTATTATTTAAATAAGGAAAAATGATGAGGTAAGTAAGATAAGATGAGAGGGGTGGAGTTAGGGGTGTGTTTATTTAAATAAATAAAAAAAAATCAAAGGAAAATAGTCTTTTTAGGTAAGACAGGGACTAAGCGTGTAACAAAAAAAAATAGTAGGAACCTTCCGAGTTAAAAAAATAAGTTAGGGACCAAACGTGCAAATTATCCTAAACCATAGGGACCATTCGTGTAATTTACTCTTTAGTTTTTCAAAAAAATTTGAATCGCCCGGTCGTCCTGATCAAATGGATAACAGATGCAAATGAAGCGTACAAGGAGGGGATATCACCTCGCAATTGATGCACATGTGTTACTTTGTGTTTTATGAGTGGTACGTTTACTTTTAAAATTGGTATATGTAATAGTTGTATTGTGATTGGTTATTTGTTAATCACACCGATCACAATCTATAAGACTAAAAGGGATGGTTTTATTATTCTTACGCGTTTAGGGCTGCGACATCATCTAAATATCCACTCCACCACATGTCTACTAGCATTGGGGGTGGTATTCACTAGTGAACATCTAGTGAACAAGACGAGAAATATGGAGAGAGAAAGAAACAAGCCAATGAGAGCCTTCTAGTTTTTGCTCAGCCAATAAGATTCTCCGTAATCATCCGTGATGCATACCAATCCACATCACAACCTCTAGCCCCTGGGGCGGTGTTCACCGGTGAAGATGTATGCCACATTAGCATTTGACGCGTGAAAATCATACCATACCCCATGGCCTAACCATTAAAATTAAAATTGAAGGTTAAGATTTAAACTCTTTGTTTTAAGACTTTGGTCTTAAAATTTGATAGATATATACTTTATAAAATAGTATATATATATATATATATATATATATATATATATATATATATATATATATATATATATATATATATGTCAATTAATTACGTGTTTGTGTTAGATACTAATTCTTTATGTGATATGCTTAGTTTAATTCGACTTATATACTAATTTAATTAAAGATGTGTTTGACTTAGATAATTCCTTATGGGATACTAATGATGTGTTTGTTACGCTTGAATTAGAAGGATGGGCTGAAGAATTATAATAAAAACTAGAAAGGTATCCCCGTGTTGCGAGGTTCGAAAGGCCAATAGTATTTGTGGGTGCCCTCTCAAAGTTCGTTTCCATTCCTAAACGACATAACAATACTTGATTTTATTAAATGTGAATATAGCATCGAATGCAAAACGACTTAGTATAACATCCTACTTTATTTTGAAAAATCTACCCAATTATATGAATGTTATCGATAGAAAAAAAATCATTACTATAATTCATTGGAGATCTTCTAAGTATAATGTTGTAAATGTAAGCAATTCATCATATAAAAAAATAAAAAGATGAAAAAAATAAAATATAATACGAAAAGAAATATGAAAAAACCTAAAAAAAACTCTAATATACTTTATATATACACTAAAAAATAGAAAACAAAAGGTAAAAAGTTTTAAAAACATTGTTGAAAAATAAAGTTAAAAAATGAAAATAAGTAAAATATATATATAAAAAAAGGAAAATAAAAAATGTACATATATTTATAAAAAAACCGAAAATAAATAAAGTATATACAAAAAATGAAAAAATAAAGTTAAAAAACCATGTGGTGTAATTTTTTTCAAACCTTGGGGACTAAACTTGAACTTTTTAGGAGTGACTTTGCAAAAAAGTTAACCAACTTAACCATGAAACTCGTTAAGTAGGCTAGAGTGATAATTCTACGAGAACGTGGTGACCACAACAATAATAAAAAAATATTAGGGTTTTTTTCAATTACACTTAAAAAATTTAGGGTTTTTATAATATTAACTCAACAAAAAAATATTAAGGACTAAATGTATACAAAAATATTAAGGACTAAATGTGTACAAAATAATAAATATATTACCCTATTAAGTCATTTTTCCCGACTAACCTGAAATAACCGATCATAAGGATTGAATGTGTACAGTTTAACAAGCTGAAAGTTTAAACGAAAAACAAAACTCAATGACCAAACATGTACAAATCAAAATATATATTAGTTTTTAAGTCATTATCCCTTGTATATACCTAATTCGATCTATTTTTGCAGCATATGATCTAAAAAAAGTTGAGTAATCTCTCCACCGGTAAGTTGGGGAAAAAGGACCTCCGATATAGACAGGGCGGCTGATGTCATTTTCAAATAGATCCAGATAAGTAAACTGAATTTATACGCAATAAGAACCTACATCACTTGTACTCGTAATTAAATGTATATAAATATCGCCATGTGCTATCTTGTTTGAATTTATCAACCTCCCTAAATAATTCAATGAAATAAAAAAAATCACTTGATTATTAGACAAGTAAAAGAATTTAATAAAAAAAAATTGATTATTTCGTAATCATCACCCAATCATATTTTTCTTCCATCATCTTCCTCCATACACTTCTTTTTCTCATCCCATCTTCACCACCACCACAAACACCGACTCCACCACCGGTAGTAAAGTCACTTCCACTCACCGCCGCCACCGCCATACTTCATCAGGCGGCAAACTTACTTTGTGCTTTGTTTTCTCTGCCCCATCAACCGCTAACAACTACCTAATTAAAGCTTATTTAATTCATTATCACCACCGACGAAAAACAACATGATGACTGACTTCCCTGCTGCCATCATCGCCGCCACCCGTAAAAAGATTTCTCCTTTCCTCCGCCGGGACTTCATCAAGCCGGCAGCTTACTTTATTCTCCTCCTCCTGACGTATTACCTTGGCTACTTATCGGCTGTTTCAAAGAATCCATTATGTGAACCACACCGGCACTACTCCACCACCACCACCACCAACACCACCAACATGATCAACCCGCCATCACAAGCTGCTGCCGTGGACCACTACCAATTCCAGACTCGATGCGGTGATCCGATTCCCTCCCAGCTCATCCGCAAAACAATCCTCAATCGCGTCTTCAACGGAACATCCCCCTATCATGATTTCCCTAAACCCCATATCAAACCTCTCTTACGTCAGCAAAGAATCAAAGGGTGGGGATCAACTGGGGCTGTCTTCAAGAACCTGATTAATAAAGTACGACCCAAAACCATCATAGAATTGGGTACCTTCCTTGGCGCCTCCGCTATACACATGGCTGAGTTGACCCGTCAACTCGGTCTCGACACTCAAATTCTATGCATCGATGATTTTCGTGGTTGGCCCGGTTTACCAAACCAGTTTCGAGACATTAAAATGGTTAACGGTGACACGATGCTGATGTACCAATTTATGCAAAACGTGGTTCAGTTTAATGCAACGGAAGCCATTATATTTATGCCATTTTCGACCGGGTCAGCTCTGGAGACGCTGTGTGCGTGGGGTGTGACCGGCGATCTGATTGAAGTTGACGCCGGCCATGATTTTCACTCTGCATGGTCGGACATTAACCGAGCATATAAGCTGTTGAGACCAGGTGGGGTTATTTTCGGGCATGATTATTTTACGGTGGCAGATAACAGAGGTGTTAGACGGGCGGTTAATATGTTTGCCCGAGTCAACGGCCTTCGAGTTAAGGCCGATGGTCAACACTGGGTACTTGGCTCCTTCTGAGTTCTCACAGATCTTACGTTATCACTTATCTGCATCACTTTACTGTAAACGTACTTTAAAGGACGATTGCTACATCCACAATTACTCATCACGTGCAAAATAAATTTCTAAATAATAAACTAATTCCATGAGTTAAGGCTCTCAAACACAAAAGTAGAAAACATTGTTAGAAAATTGAGTAATTAAACATATATAAATGCCTTTTGGATAAAGAATGATAAATTTTATATTTCACTTAATTCGAAACAAGGGCATTATGGAGGAACCTTTAACATATCGGACTCGGAGGAGTAGCATTTCGAATGTATAATTATTATTTTTTTTTCCATGTTATTTTTTGTTTTGTGCATTTAGGAGAATATGGCTTTATGTATTTTTTTGTGCATGTTATTTTTTGTTTTTATGTATTTTTTTATTTGTTTTTGATGAGCAGTTAAAACTTGGTCATTTTCTTGTGGAAAAATTGAAGTTTGTTCGTTTATTTTTGTGTTTTATTATGGTTTTTAAAAAATACTACTCGTATTGTAAATAATAACAAACAAAAGTAATAATTACATAAACTTAAATATGTTTTAAATGGTACATAATGTTCAAATGGCCCTTTATTTTTTATTGGTACCCATATAATTTCCGTAATTCATTTGCGAAATGAGATCGTCCACATTTTGGTTAAACCCTCTATCCTTAAAGATTTTCTAGTGAGAAACATCTCTACAAACCAACATAAGACACTCAACAATCATTTTTCACGCCAGACTGTTGTGGTACGTTTGCACCCTTTACAATGGTGATTTCGAAAGTCTCAAGGTGGTTACATCAATGAGTTTGGTACCCCTATAGTTGATACATACTAGGAGTTTGTGGATACGGACCTGCATAGCTATAAACCAAGATTCTTCTTCTGAAAAATAGTTGTCCACCTAGTGAGTATCGTATATAGTCATTTTGAATGTCTTGAAATCTAAAACTCCCAAAAACCAATGGACATACGATATATTGATAGGGATGTAAAGTTTCACAAAAAGTTGAAATTAAGTAATCTTCAGATAACATTTTCTTATAAGTGATTATTACTCATGTAATGACCATGGAAAATAAGTATATCGTATCACACTCGGACAAAGCTAAGTAAATGGATCCATGAGGCATGTTACACCAGTCCTTAAGTTGTCAATACAAATGTCCACTTAACATCATCAGGTCTTCGCTCTATCATTAACGAAATCTAGAGCACAATGTGTAGTCAATCAACACATGTACACAATAAAGTAAGTAACCAAAGTGAATGTTTAATGTGTAATGATCACATGCGTATATAACTTACATCACATTCCATTCATCCAGAGTCATGGTCCCCATATAAGTGCGTCCATAACTCCATTGTCGGTATATAAGTGAGAAAATGATGGCGAAAATCTAGTAAAAAATCTTTATGTTCCTATACATTGTGAACGCTAAGGTTTATACAATTGTCCAACAGTCCTTGGAGTTGGTGTGCAACGCTTTTCCTTTTCATTTGTACATATGGGGACTTCATCCATGCATATAGATGCTTTTGTCGATGTGGACGCCTAAAAGCTAGCGGTGGTGTTTTGTACTTTTTCTGTGGAATCACTTTTACATTCGATGAGTCATTATATGCAGACATCTGCTCATGTTCTTCATTCGGTGGCTGTAAAAGCATACCTAACCCATATCCATTGTTCTATAAGTCTGTTTCTTGTAGAGTACCAATGTTATTTAATTATAAACGATGCAATTATGCGTATAACATAAAGTTAAACAAAAATATATAGGTGTAAAATAATTTACAATGTACCTCCCAATGTGAGGTACCACCATCATCTTTAACACCTTTTTGGATATGTTATGGAAGCATGAATACTGTAGCTTCGAGTTATACAACATGCATCTCATGTGCTATCAACTGCTCACGACATTCATGAATGTCCTTTCGCAACTCAAAAATAATTTAGCCATTATCAGTTGATGGTACGGTGGGTAGTGGTGGGTCAGATAGATATAAATCATTACCAGAATCTGGTTGTGCCTTCTTTTGTGGAGGATTGTAGGTAGGTGACTTGCGAGGTGATGATTTTAAAGAATGTGCCATGTGAACATGTCTGATAGCTAAAGTAGGGAGTTTAATCCTCACGGAGCTAAAATACCACTAGTCATCATGAATCCCAAATTGTCCCCCCCCCCTCCCTCACCGATATCTGCGACATAAAAAAGTGCAAAATTAATTTTGTAAAAAATATTAGTAATAATGATTATAAAGGCACAACATGATACCTGTTGATTTCATCAAGGTTGGATGGCAAAGCCAAAATCGGATCTGTGACAGACTAATAAGGCAACCGTCTATTAAAACTCTTATCTAACAGATATAGAAGACATACATGGATTGCATCCTCTTCTAATAATTTATTAATCAATCTTCCCAACACATAAATAACATCTTTTAATTTGACAATGTCATTCTTCTTAACCATAAGGAATACATGGGATTTGAAGGCAAGACCAGGTGCGAAGGCAACAAAATATTTACCAATCTGTTCACTCGAGGAGATATAGGTGAACCAAGTACGATCCCAGAAGTTGTTGCATCTCGGGATTTATGGATATGGCATTTTTTTGGAGTCGCGGGGTTTAACAACGACATTAACATTCTTGGCCAGTCTCCACTTTTCAACGATCTTTGGACCGGCAAGACACCTTATATGATGTTCACGGTAAACGTGTTAGTACAGGTCCTTGAAAACACACACACTCACACACACGCAATGTAGATTTTGAGTTATACTACCTAAACATTTTTCATTGATCTCACACCTTACATTAAATAAGAAACAAAAAAAACTTAATCATAAATAAAAGGTAGCTAACCTACTATTGCTACGTGAACTCCCTGAAAGCTAGGAAAAACAAGTACATCGCTTGTGACCTAGTAAACTCTAATAAAACTTGTGCATAAAGAAATATAGGACCGATATTATAAGACCAATTTAAGCTCTGACTCGTTGAACTATATCCACAACTTCGAACCATGACCCGGGTGATCAACAAACTGATTAACCCAATAATCACCCCTTAATTGGTTGTTTACACCATTTATTCAAATCAACCTTCAATTACCCTCTTCTCATCTAGATTCAAGACCTTTCACGAACACCCGACTTTCACCTCGATCACATCCAAAGTCTTCACCCAGTCCCGACTTTTCCCGAACACCCGATCTTCACCTCGGTCACGTCCAAAGTCCTCCATACCCGGCTGTTGTTTGTCACCACACAAAATCCATTTTCACCTAACACTTCTATGAAACGAGAGACTTCTTCCATCGATCAAGAAAAACAAAGTAACTCACTCTTCTTGTCTTCCTTCATCTGCAAAATGAAACAAACCCAAAGCCACTTGCGTTGACAGATCTTTTCTTTTTGTTTTCTCACGCAACTTCAGTAACTCTCTCAATTTTCTGGTGACATACCCACAATCTACCGCCAGAATCACCACCTATTCGGACACCACCAAAAACTAAAGACAGCCGATAAAGAAACCCACCAACTTAAACACCTTCTCCCACATTAACCATTGACAAACACCAACATCTTCATAACCTCTGTTGTCTCGAACCTCCTTGTACGATAAGACCTTCAGTTTTTCTGCTCCCTGCAATAAAAAAGGTCACTGCCAACCACCCGACTTTCACTGTGATGACAGCCCTGCACCCGAAGGCTCCTCCCCTTCGAAAGTCGACTCTCAAAATAGCCTTGTACCTCTTCACTAGCCCTAGGCTCTGATACCAATTGTTGGTATAGTTCCTTGAAAACACACACAATCACACACATGCAATGTAGATTTTGAGTTTTACTACCTGAACATTTTTCATTGATCTCACAACTTACATTAAATAAGAAACAAAAAAAAACTTAATCCTAAAGAAAAGGTAGCTAACCTACTATTACTACGTGAACTCCTTAAAATCTAGGAAAAACAAGCCCATCACTTGTGACCTAGTAAACTCTAATAAAACTTGTGCATAAAGAAATATAGGACCAATATTATATGACCAATTCAAGCTCTAACCCGTTGAACCGTATCCGCAACTTCGACCCATAACCCGGGTGATCAACAAACCTATAAACCCAACAGAACGGACATTCATACAAATACGGATACTACCTTTGTGATGGGATATACCCGAATTATTCTACAATTATGAAGACATATTCGGTTCCTCGAAGTGAAAAGGCGAAGTTGTTCACAAAGAGAATGGAATTAGCAAGGAAGGATATCGAGAGGGCATTTGGAGTACTCAAGCACACAGGGCATGTAGTAAAATACGCTACACGACTTTAGGATAAGGAAAGAATTAAAAAGGTCCTAGAATTTATTATAATGCATAATATGATCATTGAAGATCAAGGTCGAGCGATTTGCACATATGATCCGGACGACATCGTCATCCCGCTTGAAGAGTTCGTGCCCAAAACGAATGAATTTTTATCACGAGTTGTTGAAATCCATAACGGCGAAATGTGTTTCAATCTTCAAGAAGATGTCATGGATCATTTGTACCAACTCAACATGAATGAATATTAGTTTTTTTAACCTTTTTTTTTTTTTTTTTTTCAAATTTAGGTTATTTAAGTTAATGTAATGTTTTTTTTTTTCTTATTCTAGGTTAATTAAGTAATGTAGTTTGAAGTTGTATTTTTATTTTTATAATTAATGAAAATCTAATTAAAAAAATTCAATGTTTTTTATTTATTTTCAAAAAATTTAATTTTATTGTATTTTTGAATTAAAAATAATATAAAAAATGATGTGGAATGGAGTAGAGTGATTAATGGTAGCTATGTCATAGGTTTAGTAGTAGTTAGTGGTGATGTAACACCCCAACTTCCAGGTATAAATTTTACCGCTTTATATTCATATTTAAAGGCCTACTCGATGAGTTGGATTCCCCAACTTGTCGTGTAGAAACGGTTGTGGCC